GCAGTTTCCTGCCCTAAATGACTTGTTTCGTAGAAATATCCCCCTAGCCACGGATTATTTTTGAAACTGATATCGTGGAAAATATGTATTTAAAAAAACGCGCAGAACATTGCTTGAGAATATTTTCGATATGAGGATCTTATTAACCTTGCTTGAGATTTATTGATATATAAGGATCGTGTCAACCAAAAAGGGGGCAATTTCGATAAACCTTATGCAATAAAGGGGCCAAAACCAATATTTTTGTATCTTGAGCTGATATGTTTGCATTCTAGACTGATTAACTATTTTAGCCAATCAAAATGGAGGAATACGGCCAAGCATTCCAATCAGCAATTCCAGGAGACAACAAAATTCAGCCGAAATTAGTTTCAGTTTTGTCGAAATTAATTTCAAAGTTACTTGGGCCGTTTAACAGTAAATACCCTGCATGAATAAACAAATGAGTTAGTTTTCACCCCACGGTAAAACTGACTTTTTGGCTATCAAAAAAAATTATTTATTCAAAATTTGGGAGAATATATCTTCCTGAACTACACAAAGCGGACTTCGATAATATTTGAAAGAAAGAAAGAAAGAAAGAATTTATTTCTCTAGTCAGCATTAAATACAACATTGAATATATTTATAATTTAAGTTAAATGATGCGACTTAGAGAGGATAGACAACGGGACCTAAAGGTCCTCCAGGGTCTACCCTTAAGTTGTTCAAACATAAAGATTTAACACTAATATTTAATGAAAAAAAAAAAAAAACGAAATTTGAAAAAAAAAAAAAAAAAAAAAAAGTTTTGAAGTAGGTTTTCTTCCGTAAGTTAAGATTTTTTGTTGGCGTTACTGAAAGAGCCCATCAACTTTAACTTAAGACAACCAGGTTCACGGTCGCAGGTGAGTTTTAAAATAATTTTTAAGAAAAATAATTTTTTTTCTTTTTTCTCTTCTTTTCCCCTTCTCCTTTCCTTTTCTTCTTTTTTTTTTTTTTTTTACTAAGTGTTTAATATTTTTCGAAAAATCGTAAAAATGGCCATATCTCCTGAACTACAAGGATTTAGAGCTTCATATTTTAGCACGAGAATCGGAAGCTAGAGCAGTTGCCTGGTAGCATTTAACCAACGATAATCATTTTAAAGAAAAAAGGAAAAAGGGAAAAAGTACTACAAATCGTAGATAAGTTTTGTTAGTTCGTCGTTTTGCAACAAAAATGTATTTTTGAAATTATGGTAAAACACTTTTACTTTTGTCTCAGAAAAACTTTCAATATTTTCAGGAATTATATTTTGCAGTCTCAATAAGTTAAAAAGCTTGCAAGCACGATATCGGATAGAAAAACGTTCAAATCTTTTCTTGCAAAGAGGTTCTAATAGTAAATTGTATTTTGAGTTTCTTGTTTGTCTCTGCCGATTATTAAAAACAAACAAATTGTTAAGGAAACTCTCTGAATGAAAGGAATTAATTGAGCGCAGAACAAATTTGAGCAATTCGTATACATGCAATTCGAAAACCGATAGAAAATTGTATTTAAGAAAAATGTCATTACAGGAGTACATTTTCTTTCGAAAGAACATAAATTTAATTATTTTCTTTTGTAAAAGAAATAAACACTCCAGTGAACTTCGACTGCAGCAACCGTAAATCAGAATTCCGTATTGTATTATAGGAACAACATTACTTCTGTAGTATTCTAGTAATTGTGAAAGCGGCACGTAATGCCTCAGTTTTGATATAATACCACATTGTTTACCGAGTCTCATTTTAACATTATTAATATGAGTTTGATAAGATAACTTACAATCTATATAAATTCCTAGATATTTGCATACGGGTTTTAGTATAATGTTAGAAGAATTAAGCTTGAAGCGATAATTGGAAGCACTTTTTATATTCATTTGATTTGTTTTATCACTATTAACTATTAACTTGTTGGCGAGAAGCCAACGATCCAGCTTGCCAATATCTTCTCTAATTTGAGTTATTTGGCAACCAATTGCCGTCAGGTTGGTGTCATCTGCAAACAGTGTTACTTCAACTGATTTGCATGCTGATGGAAGGTCATTTACGTAAATTAGGAAAAGCAAAGGTCCCAGTATCGAGCCTTGAGGAACACCGCATGTTATTTTCTTCCAATCAGAGAATTGTCCATTTACTAAAACTCGTTGAGTCCGTTCAAATAAGTAGGTCTGAAACCACCGGTTACAATTTCCTCTTATACCATAAGATTCCAGTTTATTTAGTAGTATTTGATGATCGAGAGTATCAAAGGCTTTCCTAAGATCCAAGAAAAAACTATAAATTTCATTTGTATGACTTCTCATTCTTAGATTTTCTGTCAATTCAGCTACTGCATCTATTGTACTATGTTTGGTTCTAAAGCCGAATTGTTTGTTGTATAAAAGGGATAAATTTTCAAAGTAAGAATATAATCTGTTGTGCATTGCGCGTTCATAGATTTTGCTCCAAACTATTAGTAAAGAAATTGGCCGATAGTTGTTTTCATCTCGCCGCGATTTTTCTTTGTGGATTGGAACAATTTTGGCTTTACGAAGTTCGGAAGGGAAAACACCTTTAGAAAAAGACGCATTAATAAGTATTGTTAATAAAGGAGCAACAGCATTTTTAGAAGATTTGACAATTAAGTTACTGACGTAATCATCCCCAGATGTCGATTTATCGTCCAATTGAGAGATGATTTGGTGTATTTCTGGTTCTGTTACCTTAAAAAGAAACATGGAGTGATTTAATTTGGGTAAGCATGGTGGATCTATTTTAGGCAACTCTTTTTTCAAATTCTCTCCAATGTTAGTGAAGAAATCATTGAATTTGTCAGCAATATCTTTATTAGATGGATTTTCTTGGACTTGAAGGCATGAATCTAGAACAGGAATATTTGATTGGGCTAAGTTCTTACAATTTAATTCATTGAGTAACTTATATGTTTGTCTTGAGTCTCCAATGCAATGTCTAAATTTATTCATGTAATGTGTTCTTTTCTTGCATTTAACGGCGTTTTCAAACTTTTGTCTTTGTTTTTTAAAATTCACTAGGGTTTCTGGATTTTCAGGATTATTTTTCCATCTTCGATGGGCTGCATTGCGCTTATTTCGCAGATTTTTAAGATCATTGTTGAACCATGGTGGCTGAGTTTTGCTTCTTGGTGAAATTGCCTTTAGCGGAGCGAATTTGTCTAGGACATTTTCAAAGATACATTTGAATAAATTAAAAGACTCACTGGGATCTTCGGTACCCATGAGAATTTCTTCCTGTTCACTTAACACACGCTGTAATTCATTTTCAAATTCTCTACATTTTGAAGCCTTCCTCAGAAAAGATGTATCACGGAATGTTATCGATATATCTTTTTTACATTGCTTTATTGACCAATCTAAGAGGATTGGATAGTGGTCTGATATAGTTTCTTGTTCTAACACCGTGGAATTGGGATTTGCAATATTTTGATAGATGAAGTGATCTAAACAAGTTGATGTTGTTAATGATACACGAGTAGGTTCTGATGCAAAATACTCAAACCCATTCGAGTTTATAGCGTTCAGGTAATTAATGGTGAGTTGATTTTCTTGCAGTGTATTTATATTGAAATCGCCACATACAATGAAAGGGTCAGAATGTGTGCTATTATCTTCAAGAAACTGTTCAAGTTTGTCAGTAAAGAGTAACTTGTTTATTCTTGGTGGATTGTAGATGACGGCTATTTTTAATTTGTAATTGTTTTTTTCGACCTCCGCGAATAAAGCCTCTTCAAATGTGACATCTCGTTGTTTCAGTAAATTACAGTTTTTATGTACCTGAACCATCACTCCTCCTCCTCTCATGCCATTTCGATTTTGCATAAGGCATTGGTTATAACCATTTATCAGGTAAATTTTACCTTCATCTGTTTCATTTAGCCATGTTTCGCTTAAACAAATTATATCAGGTGGAGACTCAAGACTTAAAATAAGTGCTTCCAATTTTTCATAGTGTGGTTTTAAAGACATGATATTTAGGTGTAGCACAGAAAAATTAAAGAAATCCGCTTTATGACCAGATTGATTATTATAACAGGTAATTTGGGATAATTCATTATTAAGCACAATTGAGGGATTCACATTATCAGTCACGAAAACAATTCATGGTGTCATTGAAACTGTAACCAAGATCTGATGCAGCATGGAAAATATTTTGATATCTATACACTTGATCATGATTTTGGAAAGTGTATAAAATCATGCCCTCTCTGGTCCATGTTGATGCGATGCGCTTGTCAGTTTTCATAAGCTTCAGAAACTTCACTCGTGCTCTGGTGATGTCTTCAAATACTTTAACATTTTCAGTGGAAGGCTTGTCTCGCAAGGTTTTTTTTTTCCTCATAATTTCCACTTTGGCTATGCGCCTGGAGAACTTCACAATGATAGGGCGGGCTGCTACATTTTTGGCTGGTAATCGATGAGCAATTGAAATATCGCCTTCCTCTACCTTTGCATTAATCTCCTTAGAGATGGATATAATCTTCTTGATTGTCTCTTCAGGCTGCTCTCTACTAGTTTCGTTTATTCCCAGTACTCGAATATTGTCACGTCTGTTGTATGTTTCCTGCTGTTCAGTCTCGCACAGGGTCCTTAAGGTACTTCTGAGTTCGCTGTTTTTCATTTCGTCGTTAAGCTCTTCGCAAATTTCTTTCTTAAGGTTTGCGCATTCGGCTCTTATTGCATTTCCTATGACTGTCTGCAATTCGTTCTTCAAATCAAGTTTTAGTTTTTCCAGAATTTTTGGGAGTGCTGTGTTGATGGCATTTTCGACAGCTTCTTCTATGTCAATACTCTGCTTCTTACTTTCTTGCTCGTTTAATGGACTCATAACTTCATTTGGTCTCTTCGGGTTTGATAATGATTTTGGTATCGGAGTCTGATCTTGGTATCTCAGGTTCGGTAGATTTGCTTCCTCGGATACCTCAAGCTGTTCATCATTTCCAATTGGTTGATTTGCGTTAGACATCTCTGTCTCTGAAACTATTTAATAAGTTTATCACAACAATTGAGTCGATCAATCCGTTACTTTTGGCGTAACTTTTGATCAAATAATAGATCCTTGTAACTATTTAACCCCACCCTCCTCCCCAGGGGGTGTTAGATTCGTTCCATTCGTTCCACATTCGTTCCATTAGGTAGCAAGGGGTGAGATCCCGACTAACTAAAGGAGACAAAACTGACCTTTGTTAGTGCAAAAACTGGCAGCTTACCCGTACCCAGGGGATTTTCTGTGCAAGATCTGAAATTCTTTATTTCTTACATAAGTTGATTCTCAGATCTGAAATTCTTTATTTCAGATCTTGATAAGACTTTACAAATTTCAGATCTGAAATTTGCATCTGAAATGGAAAACTTCAGGTTTGAAATAACCTTGAAAAACAAATTTCAGATCTGAAATTATATCTGAAATAGATTTTTTCAGATCTGAAATAACCAAGAAAAAGAAAATTTCAGACCTGAAATTAGATATGAAATGACCAATCCTTAGAGTATCCAAGCGTTATTTAAACATTTCACAACCTATTTCAAATCTGATGTTTAGATCTGAAAAAGATTATTTCAGATCTGTTTTAGAAAATTTATTTGGTATGGGTTCTATTTCTTAAACAAAGTTGGTGCAATTGTTTTTTTTGTCCATTTTTTTTTTGTCCGGATCATTATTCCGAATTGCGAAGAAAAGGGCGGACTGTTTATGTTTGAGGTGTTTTTTATCAGTCAAATTTCCATCTCTTAACTAAGCGATTTCACCATTTGTCTTTCACCATTGACTTTCAAAAAAAATTTTTTTTTTGTAAACTGACAGTTAACTACTACTGAAAAACTTATATGATATAAAAATCCGGGGCCTGCTTGGTGCGGTTTTTTTAATCAAGCTTATTTCGAATATTGAACTAAGCGTTTTTGACGAATATTTTTTTGTAGCATTCGAAAAATATTCTTTTCCTGAGCTCAAATTTAAAACCATTAAATATATAGATCAAACAATTCGGGTAATTAATTATGGTACCTGATTTGGCGTTGAAAACAAAAAGGAAAGAAACTAAAACAACCGAATACAAAATTCCCCCCATTTTCAATGGTCGAAACAAAAAGCTCATTAGTTTCCGTTTTTTGCAAATGATCTAGCCAATTTCTGGGAGTCAAAAAGAACTTTGTTTCAGTACTTTGTTTAGTACTTTGTTTGGTGAACAAGCACTCGTTTCTACATGAAAAATCTACTAGTTGATATTGGAATCTGAACTGGAGACTTGAATAAAGGTTTTATATTGCTTAACCTGATGAAAATTTTGAAAACTATTGCGTAATAGAGATGATACTGGGGGACTGACTATTCTCATGCGCGAAAAGCAAACTACAGTAAGCGTTTCAAACCATCAGATTCTGTTCTTTTTGCCGTTCTGACTGGACAAAATTGTACTGTTTTCAACTGAAAATCGAAAGAATAAAAAAAACTTGCTTTCTTTTGATAATTTTCTGAATAATCATATCTTATTGGCTGATATTGTATTTGGCTTATTCGGCTCTTCGTGCATGAGCCGCTCTCGTCCAATACTTATTTTGTTTTATGAAATCTGTTCTTGAAATATTTTTACGCTTGCGATTAGCAAGCGTCATCTAACTGGAGTATAGACTTTTTCGAGTTAACCTTTAGATTACCAGAATCATTTGAATCACTTGTATCTTGGTTCATAATGAACTCAATTTTAATTGCGTTCCCGGCTAAAATTTGTTTCGGTCTGTTTCTAATGACTTAAAAACCTAATTTTGGGTCATTCCAGGGAACCAAAACTTCAACACTGCCATCTGCATTTTTCATATTGTTTGTATTTTTACCAATCGGTTGGTTTGTTGACATTTCATTTTTTTTCATCAGAAAAGTATATCCAAGTTCGTGCTTGTCTTGAGGCTTGTGCTTATCTCTTGTGCGCCTGTAAACTCCCTTAGAGTCTATTTTTACTTGACCCCTGTGTTTGCAGCCTACGAGAAAATTTGATCCACATTTTTGATTTTTTTTTGTTTTCTAAAGGCGCAAAAATTGGCAGCATACCCGTAACCAGGGGATTTTCTGTGCAAGATCTGAAATTCTTTATTTCTTACATAAGTTGATTCTCAGATCTGAAATTCTTTATTTCAGATCTTGATAAGACTTTACAAATTTCAGATCTGAAATTTGCATCTGAAATGGAAAACTTCAGGTTTGAAATAACCTTGAAAAACAAATTTCAGATCTGAAAATATATCTGAAATAGATTTTTTCAGATCTGAAATAACCAAGAAAAAGAAAATTTCAGACCTGAAATTAGATATGAAAAGACCAATCCTTAGAGTATCCAAGCGTTATTTAAACATTTCACAACCTATTTCAAATCTGATATTTAGATCTGAAAAAGATTATTTCAGATCTGTTTTAGAAAATTTATTTGGTATGGGTTCTATTTCTTAAACAAAGTTGGTGCAATTGTTTTTTTTTGTCCATTTTTTTTGTCCGGATCATTATTCCGAATTGCGAAGAAAAGGGCTTACTGTTTATGTTTGAGGTGTTTTTTATCAGTCAAATTTCCATCTCTTAACTAAGCGATTTTGCCAATTTTTTTTATGTAATTTGAAATATACCTTTGTCTTTCACCATTGACTTTCAAAAAAAATTTTTTTTTTGTAAACTGACAGTTAACTACTACTGAAAAACTTATTTGATATAAAAATCCGGGGCCTGCTTGGTGCGGTTTTTTTAATCAAGCTTATTTCGAATATTGAACTAAGCGTTTTTGACGAATATTTTTTTGTAGCATTCGAAAAATATTCTTTTCCTGAGCTCAAATTTAAAACCATTAAATATATAGATCAAACAATTCGGGTAATTAATTATGGTACCTGATTTGGCGTTGAAAACAAAAAGGAAAGAAACTAAAACAACCGAATACAAAATTCCCCCCATTTTCAATGGTCGAAACAAAAAGCTCATTAGTTTCCGTTTTTTGCAAATGATCTAGCCAATTTCTGGGAGTCAAAAAGAACTTTGTTTCAGTACTTTGTTTAGTACTTTGTTTGGTGAACAAGCACTCGTTTCTAAATGAAAAATCTACTAGTTGATATTGGAATCTGAACTGGAGACTTGAATAAAGGTTTTATATTGCTTAACCTGATGAAAATTTTGAAAACTATTGCGTAATAGAGATGATACTGGGGGACTGACTATTCTCATGCGCGAAAAGCAAACTACAGTAAGCGTTTCAAACCATCAGATTCTGCTCTTTTTGCCGTTCTGACTGGACAAAATTGTACTGTTTTCAACTGAAAATCGAAAGAATAAAAAAAACTTGCTTCTTTTGATAATTTTCTGAATAATCATATCTTATTGGCTGATATTGTATTTGGCTTATTCGGCTCTTCGTGCATGAGCCGCTCTCGTCCAATACTTATTTTGTTTTATGAAATCTGTTCTTGAAATATTTTTACGCTTGCGATTAGCAAGCGTCATCTAACTGGAGTATAGACTTTTTTCGAGTTAACCTTTAGATTAACAGAATCATTTGAATCACTTGTATCTTGGTTCATAATGAACTCAATTTTAATTGCGTTCCCGGCTAACTTGTATCTTGGTTCATAATGAACTCAATTTTAATTGCGTTCCCGGCTAAAATTTGTTTCGGTCTGTTTCTAATGACTTAAAAACCTAATTTTGGGTCGTTCCAAGGGAACCAAAACTTCAACACTGCCATCTGCATTTTTCATATTGTTTGTATTTTTACCAATCGGTTTGTTGACATTTCATTTTTTTTTCATCAGAAAAGTATATCCAAGTTCGTGCTTGTCTTGAGGCTTGTGCTTATCTCTTGTGCGCCTGTAAACTCCCTTAGAGTCTATTTTTACTTGACCCCTGTGTTTGCAGCCTACGAGAAAGTTTGATCCACATTTTTGATTTTTTTTGTTTTCTAAAAAACCTCTCAAATTTGAAATTTTTGTTTCAATGAAAAGAACGATTTCAAAAAAATTGCTGCCTGAGCACCTAAGCCCAAATTTTTCTACCTATTTTTTTCGCCAAATTTATCATTTATGGCCCTCGGAGTAGTTAAATTTTTGACTTCTGACCGTTTTATAAACTTTTTGATTACTCTCGAAAACTACCCTACCATAATTGAGAGTTTGGGTTCAATTCAAGGAACGCTTTCTGGAAAGCTCATTTGCTCTTGCAATTACCCCCAAATTTTTCTGACATCAAAAATTATGGTCCTCGGGAAAGTCAAAATTTTGATTTTTCTTACCGTTTTTTTAAAAGTTTTTGACATTTCTCGAGAACTACCATCCCGAATCTGAGAGTTTGGGTTCAATCGAAGTTACAGGTTGAGTGTATCCGTTCTACATAAGCGACTACGCCCTATTTTTCTCACAAAAAACCAGGACTCTCGGAAATGTCAAATGTTTGATTAGTTGACCGTATTTTGGACTTTTCTGATATCATAGGTTTAATCAAAACAACAGGTTGTTGAAAGCCGCCCATTATACCTGGCTATTTTTTTATTAATAAAAACGTTGTGGCCTTCAAACGAATCGAAGTTTTGAAACTTTGACCGTGTTTTGAAAACTTTTTGACTTTACGCGAAAACTGCTTTGCCAGTTTTCAGGTTGTGTTCAATCGAGAAACCCAATTTTGGGAATCTTCTCTGCTTAAACAACCACAAGCTGCTCTTTTCAGGAAAAAATCATGGGTTTTGAAAACCCTTTTGACCGTTTCTTAGAATTTTTGACCAATTTTTTAGTAAGTTTTTATTTTTCTTAAAATTGACACAATCAAATCCGAGATGAAAAATACCAACTGAAAGAACCAGGTGAAATTACTAATCTGCTGAAATGGCAGCTCCTTAATTATTTGTAATAGACAAGTTATCTCTATGTGAGAATTTATTATCTCAAAAATGTTTACTTTTCTCACTTGTTTAAGAAGGGAACAACTAAGCTTTTGGGCTTATAGTAGGGAACAACAAAGGAGTCCAATTTTTGAAACCAC